AAAAAAAAGAATATGAAGAGGCTTAGTGATGAACGAGCCAAAATTCTTTTTGAAAAGTTGTCCAAATAGTGAGTAAAACATATGTATTTAAGTATATTGATGATAAATTATCGCTTGCATTCAATAAATAACATTTGCAATTTTTCCAGCATTGGCACCAATGTAAAGCAACTAATTGACCGCCCGGATGGAACATATTGCTTCCGCGAACATAGAGATCGTGTGTACTACGTATCCGAACGCATACTAAAATTATCTGAATGTTTTGGTCCTGAAAAGCTTGTTTGCGTAGGTACTTGCTTCGGAAAATTCTCCAAAACAAACAAATTGAAATTTCATATTACTGCACTATACTACCTGGCACCATACGCCCAATATAAAGTTTGGGTCAAGCCATCATTTGAACAACAGTTCCTCTATGGCAATCATATACCAAAATCAGGTCTAGGTCGTATCACCGAAAATGCCGGCCAGTATCAAGGTGTGGTGGTTTACTCTATGAACGATTTGCCTTTAGGATTTGGTGTACTAGCGCGTTCTACGACTGAATGTAAAACTGCAGATCCGATGACCACAGTTTGCTTCCATCAGTCAGATATTGGAGAATATATACGATCAGAAGATACGCTTTTTTAGTGTAGACTGTATTTTGTTTTAGATAATAAATAATTTAGATGTATAATAAAAGAAAAATACTTCGCTATTTCTTTATGCTTCTTATTCCTCACACAAGTGCGCTCGGGTATAGAAAGGTGAATTCTGAAAAGGGACAGTGGAAAAACTTGGAAAGAATGCAGCACTCGGAAAAACACCACATGTGATTTTTTGTTGGGTAACTATCAGGGCTGCCGTCTCCGCTTTTACTGCCAAAATTGGAAGTTTTTTTTCGTTGGAAGGAAGCTTAAAATTTTGGTAGGTTTCTTTGCACAGAAAACATCTCTAATAGTTTCAACAATGACAAGGATGTTAAAATATTTAAACGGCACTACGTGTTTACGGAAAATTTAATTCATATCATTCACGAAAATTAAAAAGAAAACTACTTATTGATAGTGCAGTAAATCGTTGAATCTCAAAGTTTTTAACCGCAACTCGAAGAAATTAATGACAAACCAGCAGTGCGCAAATTTGGTCCCAAGCTCGGAAGCTCTTAGACCCGGACATTTGTCAAACCTAGCCGTAGGTTTTTTTTACTTTACTTATGTATATATATGTCATAAAATATGTACGCAAATGTATAAAAAATTAACGACGAAATTTTATTTTCTGCTACGATTTTTCACTTCGTTTACTCCGAGGGCTTTATTAAAACTATAAATTATGCGAATTTGTGGCCATTTTTTTGATTTTTCGGAAATGAATCGAAATTGGAGCTCATATTCGGGCTCAGCCAGTCTAAATAAATGTCGGTAGGTGGGTTTGGTTCAAGCACACACAATATGTACAATAATAGCAATTAATTTGGCCTTTTTTACCTACAAATTTTTTTTTTATTTTTAGTGCTGTCAAATGCCGTTTTCTTGATTAAAAGAAATGGCACGAAAGAAGCCATTTTGGTAGGTTTTGTATCCAGTTCTTGGTAGGAAAGAAAGTTATAGTGGTAACCTTGGTAACTATATAAGGTGCGTTCGTTTAAAATCTCCAACAGAAACCAACCAACTGCCAAATTCCGGCAAAATGTCATCTGTTCGCTCACAAGAGAGAAATATCCAAAATAGTACGCGAACAGAAAATTTGCAGAAACTTGCAAGTTAGACGAACAGCTGATATAATTTTTGTTTACATTCAAAAGTGTAAAATTTAAAACGTACGAATACTCATTACAAAGTGGCATCCTGGCACAGTTTATTGATTAAACAAATAACTACTTACTTCTTACAAGTTTAATTAGTCGCATTTTGTAATTTTTAACTTCCAAACCATCAAATTCAATTTTGTGATTTGCGTAAATGCCAACCAGCTGTTTTTGATCAGCTGTTTTCCTGTTGGCAAATTGCTGTTGGCAAAAATTTTTCCAACAGAATCCAGCAGCTTCCCCTCAAAATGAAATGTCACTTTGCTCTCTCAATTTCCCCTACTTTGCAAGTTTTTTGCGTACGCGAACGCAAAAACTTGTAAGTTTTGGTTAAACATGAACAATTAACAGCTACGCGAACGAACCTATAAACGAGCTGGTAATCAGCTGTGAATTCATAAAACTTATTTGGCACCTTATTCTTTAATAGATACGAGATATAACAATAGGGATGAGTTTTATAAGGAATGGACCCAGAATACTCCTAGCGGCCATATTGCCTAGCTTACCTGGCGATCCAGCACAACATGACGTTGTGTCTAAAGATACAAATACATACAAGGCGTACTTGCAAAGTAAACCCGATTTGAATGAAACCGGATGGGAACGCCTAAAAGATATGTTTAAAGTTGAGTGAGTAACTACTATACCCATAAACAAAGTCTGTCCTAAACATCATAAATAGCCTGTTCCCGTACTTCACGATTTGCAGGTTTTGCAGGAACAGCTGCTTTCGCATTTAATAAACCTTATGTGAACGTGGCGTACGGGAACGACTTTGGACTAAATCCTGCAAAACCTGCAAATCGTAGACGTTCTGGAACGCACTAAAAATGTTGTCTCTGTATAGCGAGTTTGGCAGTATATCTTCTGAATTGAACTCCGTCTATCAGTCAGGTTTCGTTGGCTTTTTATTTGGCGCAGTATACGGTGGTGTTATAAATTCTCGGACTGCATATATGGACTTCATGGAAAACAATCAAGCGACGGCATTTAAATCACATCTCGATGCCAAAGTGAGTTAGGTGAAATAAATTTAAGGAATCTTAATAGATTTAAAAACATTAAATGTTTTTTTTTTTTAGCGCAAATTACAAGATCAAGTAACAATGAGTTTCGCTAAAGGTGGTTTCAAATGGGGTTGGCGTATTGGTTTGTTCACGACTTCCTATTTGTGAGTAAAAAAATGGTTTTTATAAAAAACCCGCTAACATAGCAAACATTTATATTACAGTGGAATAATTACTTGTGTTTCTGTATATCGTGGAAAGTCTTCCATTTTCGAATACATAGGAGCAGGTTTAATTACAGGCGGCCTATATAAAGTAAATCTAGGTCTGCGTGGGATGGTTGCTGGAGGTATTATTGGTGGCCTATTGGGAAGCGTGGCTGGTGCGGCATCACTCGCACTCTTATATGCGTCTGGTACTTCTATGGAGGAGATAAGATATTGGCAATATAAATGGCGCATACAACGAGAAGATATGGTCCACGATGCAATGAAGGTAGCAATATGCATTTACGTACATATTTTCTGCAATATTTTGTTCATTCATTATATACACCCCGTGTCATAATTATGTATAAGCGCCCACATATTGCCAAGTCTAAAACTTTTTTTAAATGACTTCTCAAAAAGGAGAAGGTTATCAATTCGTCGGATTTTTTATTTTATTTTTTTGTGTATGTTATCGCATAACTTTTAAAATGAAAGGTCTTACCTTACAGGTGGTGCCATACTAATTTCGTTTAAATCCCATCATTGGATTATGAAGAAATTAACTACATTCTTAAATTTTTTATATGAGAGTGGAAGTCGGTTTTGTTTTTTGCTTAAAAATTACTCGTTATTTAATTTACCCCCCCTATTATGAATTCATACGATGCACGATAAACACTTGCATTCTGTTATTCTCTATTACCAATCGATGTTGTCGTATAAAATCCGATAGTTAGGGTAGCTAGTTTGTGCTGGTTCACAATTAAAAGTAAACAAAAACCACATCCATTCGCAACAGTACATCTGTCGGGCGTATGAAAACGATAATACGACAACTGATTTTATACGATACGCTTGCAAGCGTTTATCGTCTATCGTATAAAAATTCATAATAGGTGGGTTAGTTATTTTGTATTTAAAAATATTAAGCAGCAAAAGAAGTTGCACTTTATTATACTAAAATTTAACGAGCTACCAAACTGCATACTTAACATCTTTCTTATAAATCTAATTAAGAAGTTGGACATTTTTACGATGGCATGTTCAATTTATTTTTAAGTCAGATGAAGTAAGTATTGCACAACGTTGGAAACCTATGCTGGATTTCCACCAGGCATTAAATGGCAAAAATTACAAAGCTGGGCATTAAAAAATAATCGTGTCATTATGTTACAAAACAGTCACTAAGTTTATTTCCACATTGCATTTTTTTTAAATGGCATATGATTTTTGTAAAAATAACTACATTTTGGTTCACTTGTAATTATGAAACGGGTTGTATGTGTGCATATCGAGCCCTAACTGCGAAATAACGTAAGCGACACTTTTTCGACATTTATTCTTTGCTGCATAAATGCTTATTACGTTATTTTCGGGGCCAGGGCTCGAAATATGTGCGTACATATGTATGAATACTTACGTATTTTTTTAGGCGCAAGTAGACCATGCTATGAAAACGCCCAGCATCTTTAAAAAGCATGACGAAAAAGTTGGCGAAAAAATAACTTTGGATCCCATCAAATAATTATGATCAAGAAGTTTCTTTAAAGAAACTAGTAGAGAATTAATTTTGTTTTATTTTGAGTCTTTGTATATTTGCTAAAGATTATTTCGTTATAAATACATTCGTTACATTAGACAGCTAGACATGTATAGAAGACTTTATTCTTATTTGTTAAACAAACAGAGCAAATATAAATTGTTTAACTTCAACTTTTGTGTATATGTATGTATGTTATTGAACTGACTACGATTCCTTATAGAAAGCGTTTGTTATGCAACAGAACACATGATATGATAAATTGCAACAACTTATATACTTGAAATGCTAACGATGAATGACCTTCGAATACGATTTGAAATTGAAGCAGTTAATCGCTGTACATACATATTTTTATGCGCTCATGTAAATATTTACGTAATATTTAATAGTTGAACGAATCTTGCACGATTATCACGAATATACATACATATCTTCTAACATTGAATAATACATTTCATTCTATGTATATCAAGAAGGGTGTGTATAAATTGCAAAAATACTATTCAAGTAATCGTAATATTGATAGACTGTAAATTAAACATCAGGTGGAAGAAAAAGGAAAGCATTAGTAAAATGATTGCCGCGAGGTGCGAGTTGCAACACAGAGCCCCATATTTGTATATATACTTATATTGCAGTTAAGATTGCTCTTGTGGGCGAGTCAAGCCCTTTGCACCGCGACTAGGTGGGCCTTTCGGTTTTGCAAATGCTGGTCTGCTGGCAAGCTTTTTTGGGTGGAGTTCATCGAGTAGAAACTCCTCAGTCAGTTCTGATCCACTATCGACTTCCAACTATAATAAATAAAAAATTTATAAAAAATATATTCGATTTTCTAATTTTCAACTTTACCTTCTTTACTACATTAACACCAAGAATGTTCAAATTTTCTAAAAACGGTGCTTTGCAGCTAGAATACATCATGCGTTCACGTACTGAACATGTATATCCAGGCATGGAGTAAATGAAAAAATAAGCTTCTTGATATTCACCTTCGTACGTGTGCTTGAAGAGATATAAGTGATAGCGTGCATTTTCCGTCGGGACTTGACGGGGCAACTCACTCAGCGGAACCACTGCTGCTTTTGACACATGTATGCGTTCCTCTTCGAGATCTATTCGAAATTGCAAATAATCATATGAACCTCGTAATAAATCTTTTACCGCCTCGACAGTGGTATCAGACATTGGACACGCTACTCCACCCAGTGTTTGGTGACGCGTATCGGTATTTATATCGGTGTTGATTTCAGTTTTTCGCAACTCTACTAACTCTTCCTCACGAGTTGTTAGTGGTGCTGGTGCTGCATAGTCTTGTTTATGCCGAACATAGCCTTCAAAAGTCGTTTCTTCTAATGTTGTTGCGTGTATTTCTTCAGTAATATGTGCCGAGCCAAATTCTGTTTTAAGCGTGGCTTTTGTAGAAGCATAAACCATTTTTTGTCTTATGGTGGCATTATCGGGTACCCAACTCAACAATAGCCAGGCATAACCAAGTGAGGTTTTACTATCCAAGCGATAAAGAATATAACATGGTACGCTTTCTTCTATTAGTGGACTGATCAGTTTGTCATAGTCCCTCTCCCAGTCTTTCTTTACATCTGCCGTGGCAGTACAATTGAGCTCCTCTGCAAGATAATTATGGTTATAATTTACACCCTTTCGATCTTATCTCAAAATTAAACAGGCTTACCATTTTCTATTGATACCTTTATCACACGCAGCTTTCCGTTTTTGCTTTTTGCAAACACTTTTGTAAGTTTATCATTACCTAAAAGATATAATAATCATCCAGATTTATTGTTACAAAAAACATAAATACTATATACCTTTTATCCCAGTTTGGTGCGACATATTTTCTATTTTTGGCTAATTTTCGGCAAATACCTGGAGATAAATTACAATTACTCACTCCAACACAACAACAAAAACATGTTTACTTCTACAGGG